AAGCTTGAGGTCTTTTTAATTTTTTTTAATTTTTTTTAGTCATTCAACTTTAGTGTGATAATACTTGGGTATGCTACAATATACCAATATTTTTTATTATATATATTTTTAAGTGTGTAATAGTTGATTTATATATATATATATATATATAATATATATATATATATATATAATATATATATATATATATATATATATATATATATTATATATATATACATACATACATACATACACACACACACACACACACACACACACACACAAAAAGTGTGCGTTTTTAGGGGTTTTTTTTGTATGTAACTGATTATGGAAACACATTATTGTCACTAATCCTGCATTTTTACCTTCCCTTAAAAGTAAAATGTCATTGGTGGAATTGGCTACATGTATAAGTTGTGCATGTTTATTCAACCTAATTAAAATTTGGTGTAATCTTGAGCACGTCTGCATCATGACATGATGGTGACTTTCTGCCCTTTATGTTCTTGTGTTCTTCCACAGAGAGTTTTATGCAGGATTTATCCTACAGCCTCCATCAAGTGAAAAGAAAAGAGCAACTTCTGAACTCGGCCCTGCTGTACAGTTTGGACCATGAAAGTTCAGCACCTGTCAGCTCTCTGTGTTACATCACTATCGAGGAGTATGAGAGGTCGAATCAGTGCCCGCTCTGTCCAGGGATCCAACGTGCAGTGAACTTTTCAGCCAGCACAGGCAGGAGGAGCTGGAGAAACTGGGTGGAGATTGACATCACTTCATTTTTTCTGCCTCTCCTAAAGTTTCCGAAAAAGAACATACACTTGCTTGTCAACATCACCTGCCCAGAGGAACAAAGAGCCAAGGGCAAAGGTCCCCTGGAGATCACCTTGAGGTCCCCTCCTCTACTTCTTTACCTCAATGACACCAGTAAAATCGCCCACCAGTGGTCACTAGAGAGTGCTAAAGCAAGTAAAAGGCCATCTGTGGCCTTTAATAATTTTCAGAAGGAGGGGGCTTTAAAACCAGAACGCAGGCGTGGGCTCAAGAGGAGATGGAAGAGGGAATCTCCAAAGAGCAAACGAGGTGATACAAAGTTGGACATCCAGCTGCCTGAGCTTCTCCCAAGTTCCGAATTCCCAACACGTGACTGCGCCTTGTATGATTTCAGGGTGCGCTTCAGTCAGCTCAAACTGGACCACTGGATTGTGTTTCCTCCTAAGTACAATCCCAGGTACTGCAGAGGAATCTGCCCGAGGATCACGGGCTTCATCTACGGGTCACCCGTCCACACCATGGTGAAACCTCATCTATGAGAAGCTTGACTCCTCTGTTCCCAGGCCCTCGTGTGTCCCCTCCCACTACAGCCCCCTCAGTGTCATGATCTTTGAAGAGGACGGCTCTTACGTCTACAAGGAGTTTGAAGACATGGTCGCCACCAGGTGTACATGTCGCTAAGCCAGCAACCAACATGCCTTTCTGTTTTTCAGGCTGATCAGAATGTCAACAAACCCTCATCAGCAGTCATCACACAGGTGGACTGTTTCCAAGCATCAAATATTCTGACCAGGCTTGGTGATTTCATGAATTTATAAAATCGTTGTGCATGAAAGAAGTTTGGTCTGGAGCAGTTGTGTTTACTTAAAGTATTTTATCATGTAAAAGTGTGGCATTTATTTAGGTTTTGTTAAGGCAGAAAAGGTGCAGATGCATCCTGATCTTCAGCTGTTAGAAATGTTGTAATGAATCTAACACACTTGAAGATAAAATGTGTGATGTATGATTTATTTTAAGTTTGCTTGTTTTTGTTAATTTATTCTGGGTGGGTTGTCTGTCATTATTCTTTAATTAACACAATTTCCCAAATTTTAAGTAGCCCTGTTCTGGACAAAAAGAAAAAGCAGTCACAAACGCTTCCCAAACCTTTTACATATCGTTTTATTCATGGGATTACAGACGTCTGTCTGCATAATGTCCAGAATGAAAGTTGTCGAGGTTTCAGTGTGTATTTATTACTTCTGGTCACTGAGTGACTGCATACGTGTGAACTGACTGCATGCTTATATATTGTACTGGTTGAATGAGACTAAATGCATGTCATATCTATTTATGCAACTGAATGAATTCACTGTGTGTCTGTGTTCAGCTTAGGAATATTCGAAAGAATGAAATTATGTAGGCAAAAGTTGAAGAAAATTAAAAATAACTTGCATAAACCTTGTTTAAATGGAATTATGTGAAGAGCTATGAGCCACTAAAGAAGGTGAGTGGTGCTGAAATTGAGGAAATCTACTAAAAAGAAAAGTTTATGGCCAGATGAGACAAAGATTGAGCTATCTGGCCACAGAGATGAGGTGTCTTTCTTCATCACCTTAAATCAAGCTAGACAGTATGAACTCAGATCTAATTGGATGTTCCAACAGGACAATGATGCCAAGCATACATCACAAGTGGTTTTGGAATAAATAAAGCAGACTAATATTACACCTTTGTAATGGTCTTGCCAAAACGCCGGCCTCAACCCTTGTTAAAAATTGTGGACTATGTTTAAATGCCCAGTCATTGCCTTGAAAGTAATCAATTTAAATGAACTACCAACTGTGCCGTGAAAAGTGGTCATCCAGCCAAAAATATGCCTCAAGCTTATTTATGGCAACCAAAGTTTCTGGTTGAAGGTGCAACACGTTAAGAGACATTTAGCTAAATATTAGTGGGAATGTATATATTCATATTTAAGCCTGTATACAGATGTACACTAAAGAAAATCCAACACGAATTCAATTCTGCACCCAATTCTTGTTTTGTTTTTTTAAAGTGATTAAAGATCTATGATGCACAATCATTCTACCCTAGAGCACTGAATAAAAATTAACATACATCCATGCCCTCCATGAGTGTATGGGAACTTTCGACCACAACTTTACTTGTTTTGCTTAAGTCCTAACTGAGGAAAAAACCTTTAGAGCTTAGTCGATTAATATTGGCACCTTCTGAGTGTGATTTGCTGTGGCAGCTAGGATCTGCGCCTAAACTAGATGATGCCCATAATCAATATTGGAATATCTGAAAACACACGAGCACAGTATTAATAGACCTGGAACTAGAAAAACACATTTCCTCACTCAGTTAATGGCTTGCCGTTTAAACCCCAGCCCGTCAGGGGCAGTAATGCCCTCGGCGTGAGCTGACGCCTGAATAACAAAGGTCGACGGACACCGGAAGTGTTCAGAACACCGTGGACAAGCAAAGCGGTGAGTCTCAATGTCATTATTTCAACTGAAAAGTTTTTCTTGAATTTATCCGTAATACTAAAACGTGATATGTCAGTAATTTTTTTTATAGCGAAACTGAACTAGTGTGAGCCTATTGCGATTCAAATACCACGCTTTCGTGCAAGCTCAAGGTCTGTTTGTACCTCAGGAGCTAGCCTGTTTGAGCTAACAGACAAGCTAACGTCTAGCGCGGCTAACCTTAGCTCGTTTGGGATTTTAATTTTGTGTTCTTTGAGACAGGCTACGGATCAACAATCTGGCACCCTTTTGGGGGTTCTGTGTTAGTGACTATCACAGGAAGTCTTTAAGACAAGGGCAGGTGATTGTTTATGTAATACTCTTACATAAAACAGCTTTATAAAGCTGACTTGTGAACCTCATTACATAAGCTAACGTTTAAATGACGACTTTACGTTAAAGTTAATACGACACGTATGTATTGCCCTTTATGTATATTTAAAATTCAGTAACCCCAATAACCCCTTTCCAATGACAGGCTGGTTTCTGAGGAGAACATTAGATATATTATCCAGCTATTGGGTTAAAAATATTTTCTTTAATCCAGCTCACAGAAACACTTAAGCACTGATGACTGTGTTTGTATGCGTCTTGCTGTCTTTCAGCCCAGCTCTCCAGTAAACATGGGACGCCACTTTGGAAACTTGGCCAAGGTCAGGCATATAATCACATACAGTCTGTCCCCTTTTGAGCAGAGGGCTTTCCCCAACTACTTCTCCAAGGGAATCCCAAATGTGTGGAGGAGGGTCACGTCGTCTTTCTTCAAGTTGCACCCGTGAGTGTTTTCTTTTACACTATGTTAGGATTCTGGTATACCAGCTCATTGTGTCAATATCAGTAATTCTTAAATTAATAAGAGCATATGTAGCATGCTTGGCCTGTTTGTTTCAACTCTGTCATTCATATTTTCCTAGTTAACTTCACCTGGAATCTTGGAGTTGGTTTCTGAGCTAAAAACGCTTGTATTTAAACTATAAAAGGATCTTATTCTGAACTACTTTAGGCTATTTTTAAGATAGAGAAATAGAAATAAAGCAAACCTAGATGACTTGCAAAGAAAAGCGTCTGGACTTCTTTAAGTTACTTGAAGACGTTTCACCTCTCATCCGTGAAGCTTCTTCAGTTGAAGACCTTCTCAGAGGTGAAACGTCATTTGAGAAGCTTCTTCAGTTGAAGCTTCTCGGACGAGAGGTGAAACGTCTTCAAGTAACTTAAAGAAGTCCAGACGCTTTCTTTGCAAGCTCCTTTGACTACGATGACCTGGGTGACTGAGAACCTTCACAGACAAACCTAGATGACCTGTTAATTAATTGATATGAGTTTGACCATAACAGTATTTGTGCTTATATAATAGAAGTGTTTTAGTCGTGTCATGTGTGAAGCATGAGTGAAGATTTGAAGAGAATGAAGAGACAGACAATATGATTTTAAGGATTTACTAAAGACACTTATTTCACAGTAAGGTGCATAAAGTGTCAGATCGCTAATGCTAATGTGTTTTGTAATCTTCCTTTTTGCAGCAATGGTCCTTATGTATCTGACCTACAGCTGGGGCAACAGCGTCCATCAGCAGGGCAAGAGGAAGAATTCAGCCGACTACGAGAACGATCAATGAACACGCACCGCCTCTCTAAACTGCCCTCTGTTTTAATTCCAAGTCTGTACGTCTAACCAATAAAAAGTGAAAATATTTATGTGAAATCAGTTTTGATTGACTGTTGGTTCACTTTAATTCCTAACATTGAATGACAAAATAAAAATAGTTAAGTTAGAGTGTGACATTTGGAGGATAAGTGTGTACTCTCGCAAATGATGTTTGGTGATGTTCTGGCCAATAATCTGATGCCTGTGCACACCAGTTTGTCATGTTTTCACTTAGAATGTGGTGGATGTTGTGATAGGTTGCAGTTTTAGATATTCTAATACATATTTTGCATTAAATTAATTATCAGTACACAGAAAAAAGTGTGGTTAAAAATGTTGGAATCTGTGTTGAGTGAGTTTGAACCGTTTGATGTGATTATTTGCTATTTTTGATCCCATGAGAATAATACTGATGAGACAGAATGTTTCAACTGCAGAAGTTAATACTAGTCAGTCATAAAGCAGTGCTGAGGAATGGATATATAAGACATATAATGTATTTATTTTCAGGCTCAGTGTTTCAGGAATCATCCCACGCTTTGAGTCTGAGGGGTGGAGGCAGTGCACAGCTGTCTTTTTGCACGACAGTGAACTTATATACTGTATTCCTTCCCTGTGTTAGTTGAATCTCCAGATTCATGAGTGTCTAATAAAAGTAGGCTGATTGACTTTGTGATGTTGTAGAATACAGTGTCCTGCTGACCACAGTCACTGGTGAGTGCTGTTGCCATAGCAGGATCTGCAACAGCGTAAGTGGGTACTATGTGTCAAAGTAAAAGCAGAACACACTGTTGTAACAACATGATTTTGCATCACCTGATGCTGATTTGCTGATGTGACTCCTTGATATGTTTAGCTGGTGAGAGTTGCCAGAAACATAATCAGAAGTCTTAACAGCCAGACAATTTTATTACAGCTGATTTGAAGTAGTTGTGATACTTAAGAAAATACCAACCTGCAAATGGTTGACGCTACAGCTACCAGAAGTCAGACAGCGATCATACAGACTCTAGTGAGATACTGGGATGTCCAACAGGTTAGGGTGATTATGGATAGAGATGGCATGTACTAATCAGTGACCAGGGTGTGCTAAGAAGGTGGAAGGAGTACTTTGAGGACCTGATGAATGTATAAAATGAGAGAGAGAGAGGAAGATGTAAATCAGGAAGTGCAGAGGATTAGCAGGAGGAAATGATGGCAGCTATAAAAGAATGAGTGGAAAGGCAGTTGGTTTAGATAACATACATGTGGAGGTATGCAGAGCTCAGCTGAGTTTTTAACCAGATAATTTAACACAGTCATGGAGAGTGTAAGGATTCCAGAGGTATAGAGAAGAGAAGAACAAGTGTGACAGACCGAGTGGTAGTAAATATACAGCGATAAAGATGATGACCCATGCCATGAAGATATGAGAAAGAGTTGGTGGATGGATATAGAGCTTCCACCGAGGAGGAAAGAGAAAGGCCACAAAAAGATTCATGGATGTACCAAAGGAGGACATGCAGAGGGTTGGTGTGACAGAAGAGGATGCTATGAACGGTGAGAAGGAATCACATGATCCGCTTTGCGACCCCAAAGGAAAAAAAAAGACCTGCTGATGCGATACCGGGTCTGAGCTGTAGGTGGCGCATGACATCTCTCTGGTCCCCGCAGTCGGATGCTATTGGTCAGTGCACAGACAGAAAATTCCTGAACGCTGTCACGCATCTGCCGGCGTACCGCATGCTGCTGCTCAGCTTCATGGAACAAGAAGAACAAGGGTGTATCACCGTCCGCTGACTGAGAGCTTCTGTAGCCACCGTTGTCACTTTGGAGCACCGAACTGTATTTTTGTTCCTCCTTGTAACTCCACACTACCAAGTTAACTAGCGATAATGTCAGTTGTAGGCTTTGACGTCGGGTTTTTAAACTGCTATGTAGCAGTAGCCCGAGCCGGAGGGATTGAAACTGTCGCCAATGAATACAGCGATCGATGTACACCGTAAGTACGACTAGTCACATCATTGAGGATGCTTTGCAATCTATCGTCTGCGTTGATAACGCCTACAGAATGTGAATGAATGCACTTTTCTATATCCTAATATTGAGTGAAGCTAACATTGCTAGCTAGTTAGCATGCTAACAGATTTCACAACAGGAAACAGCATGTGAGTGCTAAAGCTAATGCTAGCAAGCCGGAACGAAATTGTTGGAGAAAAGAAACCCTGGGATAACTTGATTTTAATTTATTGTTTCTTTTGGGGTTTGAATACATTAATACCATCGAAAAAATATTTAAAGGTCGTTAAGTGACCTAACTAGTCAGGTGATGGATGTTTTACTGCAGGCTGACGGGAGGAGGCCGGAACCAGGCTGTCAAACCACATTATCAGCCTATTGTGCTTCATTTTTAACGCTCTCGGTCCACAGAAAACCAGATAAAGGACCATAGAATTGTGATTTCAGAATCTTAAAAAATACACGTGAAAGGGTTAATATTATATCGCCAGTTGGTGAACTAACTGCACCATTGTGAAGCAATTGTTGTAGATGAGAGAGGTGAATTGTGTTTTCTGTTTTTAGAGCATGTGTTCTTTTGGACCCCGGAATCGATCAATTGGTGCAGCTGCAAAAGCCAGGTATGTTTTCACGAGAAGCTGAGAGGTGCTGGGTACAGGTTTTGCCCAGGAGACCGGGGTGGGGGTCGCTTCATCACACAGTGCACAGAGCATGAACAACTCTACACAGAAACTGCACAACACAAATCAATTTGCCAAGTCATAAATTGACAGTTTGTGCAGTTAGTATTTGTGTGTCAATTAAACATTTTTCTTTCTTTCTCTCATTAAACAGGTTGTCACAAACTGCAAGAACACAGTCCAAGGGTTCAAGAAGTTTCATGGCAGGGCATTTTCAGATCCATATGTGCAGTCCCTCAAAGAAAACATGGTCTACGATATTGCACAAATGCCCTCGGGAACAACAGGCATCAAGGTAAGAGAAGAAGAGGGAACATTTGCATTATAGTTAAAATTTTGGTATTCTTTTTCCAGACCTGACTTATAGTAAACTTGGTCTGACATTTTCTCTAGCAGCTGATAATGGGTTTGTTTTTCTTTGAGGATCTAATTGAAAACCTCTGAGAACCTTTTGCTGCTCTGTGTCACTAACTGGAATATTTTTTAAAAATCTGCTACTATATAAAACACTCATTTTGAGCTGACGCGTAATAAACTTCCATGTCTGTCAATTGGATTTTTGTTAAAGGTGATGTACATGGAGGAGGAAAAGGTATTCAGCATCGAACAGGTCACCGCCATGCTTCTCACCAAGTCAAGGAGACGGCAGAGAACGCCCTGAAGAAGCCCGTGGCTGACTGCGTTGTGTCTGTAAGTATGCTGTCATAACAAGTCCATGCCTCACACACATGCATTTGTCATGTTACTTGATCAGACTTGTCCTGAATCTGTCTTTCATTAAGTAGGTTAATAGAATAATACACAAGCTCTGAGAGAATGACATACAACAGAGAGTCTATGTTTTACATAGTTTGGTTTCACTAAATCCAGTCTTAATTATTGAATCATCCATATTCTATCATAAACCCATGACCTTTGATTGTGCATCAGACTTATTTTAGAATTAATAATTAAACTCTCCTCCAAGAACTTCTAGTGGTTACAGTAGTAATCCTTCTGCTCTGGAGATCTGCTGCACTCTAAACCAGAACTTGCAGCAGGCAGATACGTGATTTATGTTCCATTATGCTTAACTCTTCCAAGCAGCAGAGCAGAGGACAGCTGACTGGAGTTGGATGAGAGATTCATTTTTGAGAATGTTGCTTATAAGTTGTTGTTTTTTTAATTGCTCAGAGTTCTTTCAAATTGGCAGTGAAAGTTTATTTCTCAGCAATCATACACAAGCATTTCCAACCTTCAAAACAATAAAAACCTGTTGCAAATGCTAAAGATGCGTGTGACATTCAGTCTGTGACTTTGCTGTAATTCAGACACAGATACATTGCATTGCTTAACATGAGAGCATAGTCGTGTGACCAAATTATCTACTGTTTACCAGCTGAGAGAGATCAGAATCAAATCATAGTGTGTGCCACCTTGCGGGCTGATTAACCAGACTAATCAATGGACTCCCTTCTGTTCTAACCAGGTTCCTTGCTACTACACTGATGCTGAGAGGAGATCTGTAGTAGATGCTGCTCAGATTGCTGGACTCAACTGCTTGAGGCTGATGAATGAGACAACTGCAGGTCTGTACCAGAGCTTTTAGGCAAGGAAGTGCATCTCACTAACCAACTCTGATCTGACAGTAATTGAGACCTATTCTGCTCTTGATCATTTTCTGTCATATTCAAAGTGGTGGATGCTCAAATCAGTCGAATGCTCTACATACTCAAATTTCAAACAGTTTTTTTTTCTTAAAAGGAGATATCATAATATGATCATATCAGTCACTAAAAGGGCTACATCACTGCCCAGTATAAATAAAATAGTTAATTATCAGATAAGGATTATTTGAGCTTTGAGTCATACAAAGCCACTCTAGCTTGGTGTGTTTGTAAGCTTCCATTTTCTAACTAGTTAATAAGGTACACCTAAAAATTCTAATTGACTCGATGCAGTTGCCTTGGCTTATGGAATCTACAAACAGGATCTGCCTGCTCCTGAGGAGAAGGCCAGGAATGTGGTGTTTGTGGACCTGGGCCATTCTGGATACCAGACATCTGTGTGTGCCTTTAATAAAGGCAAACTCAAGGTGTGTAGACATCCCAGTGCACTGCACACAGTTTATCAGTCTACAACTGAGTTTGTGTCATAACCATAACTCTTTACCCTGCCGCTCAGGTTCTTGCCACAGCATGTGACCCGCTGTTGGGAGGAAAGGATTTTGACGAGGTTGTCGTTAAACATTTCTGCGAGGAATTTGGCAAAAAGTACAAGCTTGATGTGAAGTCAAAGCCCCGGCTCTGGTCAG